GGAAGTGTTTAAGAAAAAACTGGATGAGGCACTTGGTGCCATGGTTTGGTTGACATGGTGGTGTTCCATCACTGGTTGGACTCAGTGATTTCAGAGGTCTTTTCCAACCTAATTGATGCTATGATTCTGGGTTTTTATTCTGTGCTAATTAGCTCTAATCTTGAGCATTCAGATTCTCTGTCTTCCCTGCACTGAATCTTTTCCACTTCTTTTCCACATGCCAATTATGCTCCTTCGTCTCTCCTGTGAATAAAAGCTGAGAGAGTTGTGATTGTTCAGGCTGGAGACGAGAAGGCTCCAGGGAGACCTTAGGGCATCTTCCACTACCTAAAGGGGTTATAAGATAGCTCAAGAGGGACTTTTGACAAGGGCATGGAGTGATGAGTCAAGGGGGGACGGATTTAAACTGACAGATTAGATATCAGGAAGAAATTCCTCCCTGTGAGGGTGGGGAGGCCCTGGCACAGGTTGCCCAGAGAAGCTGTGGCTGCCCCATCCCTGGAAGTGCTCAAGGCCAGGCTGGATGGGGCTTTGAGCAAACTGGTGTAGTGGAAGGTGTCCTTGCCCACAGTAGGGGGTTTGGATCAAGATGATCTTCAAGGTCTCTTCCAACCCAAACCATTCTGTAATTCAAAGGCTGCTTGGAAAATAATCACAGACTGATTTGTGAACGGTAGTATCCCCACAGAACTTTTAAATAAACTCTCTGAACATATGTTGCAATTTTGTTCATTAAATCATGGATTGCCAGCTAATTCATACTCAACTGAGTATTTTTTTTACATCCAGTTAAAAAAAAAAATAAATCCAAACTTAATTCAGGAACTGAAAAAGTTAAAATATCTCAAAAGCACTACAGGTTAGATGCAAACCTTTTATGGTTCATTGAGTTTTTGTATATTCTCTCTGATATACTTCACTTAATAACAATACAGGCTATTGTAATCTTGTCAGTAAATGATAAAACAGTTCAATTACCCCTTCTTTTATATGGATCCAAAAAGTATAGTAAAGTATATTTCAAAGCTGTTAGGAAAATAGTTGTGCCAAGGCTTGGCTAATTTTCAAAACTAATCTTTAATCATGTGCTAACTAGTTGATTAAGCTGTTTATTTCATTTTTGTCAGTCTGTAAAGCAATTTGGCTACATATTTATGATTACAATGGCATTTTAGCCTGACCCCTAAGGAGGATGAGTTTATGTTAATGCTGCTCTTGTCCATCAGTCTGTGCGTCCATGGCAGAGTCAGGGAATTGTCTTCTGAAAAACAGAGACCTAGTAAAAAAAAACAGGATCTGAATTACTGCATCTCCTGAAACAAAAACCAGTAGTAGCAGAACTCAGCAGCTGAAGAGGAGCTGTTCAAGTCTGTGCTCCGTAACTGTGGAGTGCCGAGCTCCTTTACACAACTGCCATGGAGTAGCTTGTGTTCAGTATCTTCACTTTGGGAGGTGTCTCAAAAGAGAAGAGCTTAAAAAATTAACACTGTTATTGAAGAATAAAAGCAAAAACCCTAAAAATAAATAAATAAATAAATAAAATAAAAAGAGAGATGGAAAGAAGTTTGTGGATTGGAGGGGGACTGTGCAAATTAGATTAAAACCAAACAGATCTAATATACAATAGATCAGCAGAATGTTGCATGGATCTGATAAGGAAACATCTCAGTTTTAGGTGTGCTCTTCTGAAAAGAGAGAACTAATTAAAAATAATGAATTCTCAGGGGAAAGAATTTAGAAATTTTTTAAACAGAGGAGAAGGCCAATGATGAGGGCCAAGAGCATCATTCCTGGCTTGGTTGCTCCTCAGGTAGAAATCTGATTTGGAACAAATTATTGTAAATGTAAAGGTTGAGCTGAAATCATGTTTTATAGCTACGTTTTTAGATGAATGGAAATTTCTATCATGTCATGAAAACATTGAAGACAGTGCTGTATTTGCATATCATAAATAAATGTTTTGATTTAAAAGAATTATAAAATCTGAGCATTATTAGCAACCATTAAAAATAAAAACGAGTTGTTATGGATATCATTAGCTAAGCCAATTGCTATATCAATCGTGTACATTTTGTAAGCTTGTTGGCTTTATAGAAATTATTTGGCATAATATCCCTTTTTAGGAGTTTAAATGATTTTGTAGTAAGTTATTTTACAGACTCTGCTGTTTATTTAGAGTCCTGCAGAATTTTAAGTGTGAATATTTAGATTTAATATTCCTTTATCTCCCAAACAACATTTTTTGTGATATAAAGTTAATGAGATATAGACTTAGTTTCAAACAAAATAAAAGCAACTTTGCCAAAACAGAAAGTCTGTAAAAACTAATTGGAAGCTCAGGCTGACTCTCAGCATAATGAGTTTGCAGTGCTTCACTGAAATGAGGGTCTAATGCAGAAGACTTTTTTTTAATCACCAAAATGCTCAGGATCCCATGTGAGGTTTTTTGTGATGGCAGTAGGTGGACAAAAGGGTGACAAGTGTGATAATTAAAAAGGAATCCCCCAGGAAATCTGATGTGTTGATGTATTGTGATAAATTACACTGGGAGGTGTAAGGCACCCTACGAACCAAAAAGGCTTTATGGTTCACAAAGCACAACCAGTCTACTGCATGGAAAAAACTGAACTCTTTGTGAGATAATTGTGTGCTATTGGCAGGACTGGGACAGGACACATAAAGGAGGAAGAAAGGGACTAAAAGATGTGTTGCCATATAAATAGTACAGGTTTTCTTCCCATTTACCTGGAGGAGTGGTTACCTTGGCTGCTCATCATTTACTGCATAGCTTTTGATGCACCTTGTAGAGCCTAACTGTGTGTCCTGGCAGAGATCAGCATTTTCCTAGCAGGACAGTGGCTCAGCCATTAAAATGTCTTGTCATGCAAATTATAGGTTGTATAATAAACCTGCAGATTTTCTGTAGAGTGGATTTGAGATTGATACCTTAAGTAAGGGAATGCCATTGATCAAATACGTGAGGATGCTGGACATCAAATATTATGTCTAAAATGTGGGTAGCTTTGAATTCCAAAATAGCAAGATACAGGATTTACTGAGATTAATTATTATATGAAAGTGCCTTAGCAGATTATTTTGGAGCCCTGGACTGTTGACTCCAGTGATTTAATTTACTGAGGTCTCCAATTTTCTAATATGCTTAGAAGTGCTTTTCTGGTATATGCAAACTAATATTACAGCGTAAACCTTAGTGCAACTGTAAGAATGCTGCCTTGATAAAAGATCAATGAAATTAAAAGGATTAAGCCCAGGCCAAATCCGTGACAGCTTTGCTTACCACAGCATACAAAAGCTTATGTGGAGCACTGAACAACCTTGTTTCTTCAGTTGGGGTAAATTGTGACTGTCACAGAGAAAAAAGTGCTTTTTCTCCATAAGCCGTTCCAAGAAAGGAGGGAACACACTTTCATCTTTCACCTTGAAGACACATCATGTCGTAATTTAAAGAAAGCATGTGTTGTAAACGGATGGCAACAACAGTTCCTTGCAGGGAATTTTTGCAGGTTCATCAGAGCTTCACTCCAGCTGGATTTGTGCAAATTTAACTGGACATCTGCTAAGGTAAAAGGGAGAGTGAGGGTGAGTACAGAAATTGGATAAAGCTGCTTAGACACTGAGGGGAAGTAGCTGGAGAAGTTTCAGGTTAATAATTTCACAGTTCTCTCAATCTAGCAGCAATTCTTAAAACTGTCTTCATTGCAAAATATTTGGTATTGTTCCTTTACAAGGGAATTTCTTGTCTCAATTCTCCATAGCTGTGTATCTTGCTGTAATGAGAGGCTTTGGAGGCTCTTGTGGGAAGTAGAGAAAACAAGATTTTATTGTCCCTTCAAAGCACAATTACTTTGTCTTTGTGTCTGCATTGTCCTTTGCATGAGGATTCAGGACACCTTAACAGCTGAGTGGCAGCATTAGCAGAGGGCAGGACAGTGCAGCCACAACCTCCCTCTGGGTCCCAAAGGGCAGGGACAGCACAGGTAACAGGGCCTTGGGTACCTGCCACATTTGTCTTTGTGTCTGCTCAGCTCCATGCCAGCTCATCTGCCTTAGAACCTTTTCTCTGGCTGTCTGGATCATTAGTGCTTCAGAGACCTTTTCTCAGCTCCCATTTACAATAACAGACTCACAGAAACATGTTAACCTTGTTTTAGGAAAGATGTTTGTTAGGTGTTAGAAATTACTCAAATATTTTCTCTCTCAAAGTGCAAAACTAATTTTTATGCTGTGTCTATTTCTTTCACAGATGTTAAATGAGAACTGTACCTCATGAAATCAGCCTGTATCTGTGCTGCAATTTCAGTGTCAGCTTGATTTATTTGTTCTTCACCTTACTCCCCCAAAAATCCTATGACAAATAAAGTAAATGTTATACCTTCTTCTTTTTCTTTTCTTTTTACTTTTTGGTTTCTTTTGGGTTGTTTATTGTTTTTATCAAACTACAGCACCATAGGGTGTGTGTCTGTATCTGGTAGTCTCTGTTTTAATAGACTGTTATATTTTAAATTATTTCACATGTTGCAACTTATTTTAGAGAAAACAAGGTTAACAGCATAACCAAGCACAATGCTTTATTCCTAATAATAATTATGGTATCATAGAATGGTTTGGATTGGAAAGGACCATCTGGATCCAACCCCTCTGGCATGGACAGGGACACCTTCCATTAGACCAGGTTGCTCAGACCCCATCCAACCTGGCCTTGAACGCTTCTATGAGTGGAGAATCCACAGCTTCCCTGGGCAACCCGTGCCAGTGCATTAGCATCCTTACTATTAAGAATTTCTTCCTAATATCTCATCTAAATCTGCCCTCCTTCAGTTTAAGACTTTGGTCTCCTTTTATTTTATTTTATTTTTTTCTGTAATCAAGATGAACACCAACCACTAACTGCAAAAATGACATTCAAACACTGTCTTCATCTTTCTTCTTAAATAATAACCCTCTGTGGGGTTTCTGTGCTTTTTTCCTTGTTGTTTCAGATATGCCAGGTAGCCCCCATAACCAGTTCACCTTCAGACCCCTCCCACCACCACCTCCACCACCTCACGCCTGCACCTGCGCCAGGAAACCTCCTCCCACGGCTGACTCTCTGCAGAGAAGATCCATGACCACCCGCAGCCAGCCCAGTCCTGCTGCCCCAACTCCCCCCACCAGCACACAAGATTCGGTGCATCTCCATAACAGCTGGGTCCTGAACAGCAACATCCCGCTGGAAACCAGGTACAGAGCAACCTTTGGTGCACAGAGTATCTCGAGTGTTGGGGGGCTGGGGGTGGGGGGAGAAAAGAAAAAAAAAAAGATGAGGAGGTGGCTGACACTGCAGTGAGATGATGATGGGCAAGTACAAATTGGTCATTCCAGACATGCCAATATGTTTTGATTTCAGTAGCCATGTGAGGCCTTATTTGCTTGGTTCATCTAGATCATTAAAACTCTTAAATGCACTTTTTGCAAAGTTTTGGGAGACAGTGATTTCTTTAAGGTGTGTAGGTTACATGAGTGTTTTATGGGTTTGTGCGGTCAGGATTTGTGCTTGTGCATTTTTCTTGCCCTCCCACGTTCTCCCAGGACCATTTTGTAATCAGCAAATAGCAGCGTGGTTTAATCAATGCACTCTGGCACTTCTGGAGTCACACAGAGTCACACAATTGTTGGGGTTGGAAGGGACTTTTGGAGATGATTTAGTCAGGCTGTAGCTTTCCTGCAGCTTAGGTAGGAAATAATACTAAAATCATATTTTCCTCAATGCGTATTTAAATACTTTATTGCATCTATACACAAAGAATGTAATTTGGTAATCATTTGGTAATGGAGAAATGATACAGGCCCAAGGCAGGTATTGAGCATGGCAGCCTTAGCCTTGGGAGCTGGGAAAGGGAGGGTTCAACTTCAGAATCATTCACAATTTACACAAATAATCTACTCTGGAAAAGAACTGATCAGAAACACAAATAATTACCTGCATTCAGGCAACCTGGATTTCAGTACCCAAAGTTCTGCACACTTTCCTCTGAATTTTTTGTTATATTAAGCTTGTTTGTTTGTTTGTTTCTTCCTGATAAGTATTAGCTAATTTGATTGCTTTCAACTACAGTTTGTTTGCTTACCTGATTTTTAAAACAAGACTTTGATTTTCTTCAGTCCTCTTCATTGTGAGCAAAACATCAGGAGGTTTTAACTAGGGTTTCCTTTAGATTTTGGCATTTTAAAGCATGTAAAGGGCATGACTCTCTGTGAAAGTTTAGTTTACTGAAACAGGAGAATGTCTAACATCCACCTAATTTGATCCAGATAATAAAAGGTATTATGCATGGAAATGTTTTCTTTTTAAACACATATGTCCGAGGTCCAGTTATCAGAACTAATCACTGAAACGTAAATTTTGTTCTCTTATAAGAAGGTTGTTTTTATTTTATTACAAAACCTAATTTTAATATCCACCTTTAAACACTTAACTGCTCCTACCAGAAGTGTTAAGTTTTAGTTCTGCTATTAAGTTGGGATTGAAGAATATACCAATTCATTCTGAAATAAAACTATCCTTATTTGTCTTAAGGACAAATCTCGAAAAGAATCAAGGAGGATGGAAAATTTTCTCCAAAAGAGAACATAAACAACATTTTAGTCCAGCTACTCCTTCTAGAGCTAGAAGCATCTGCTTACACAGTCTTTGTAAAGATGAATCTCTGTCGTTTCTCATGTAACAAGTTTATATGTCTTTATATGTCCTTTCTGCTTTAAGAAGGCTGATCCCTTGATGTTCTGTACTCTTGAAGTACCTTTTGGTTCTCTTCATTTAACAGCCAGGTAGATCTTGTTTAGCCTCTCTGCATCCCTGTTCACTGCGTTCTCGTCAAACCTCACTGGGGAAAAATATTTCACAATATGTTTCTCTTTTGAGTTTAGTTTAATTATTCTGGTTTCTTGTTATTTTTTACCAATTTGTAGTGTCTCAAATACAGATAGAGATATATATAGGTCTATCTGTAATTATATAATGGGCTGTGCATTGGATTAGGAATTCAGAATGGAAAACATCCTTTGGGCTACACATTATTCATTCACTAAGTCTGGGAATTTTCCACTTTCCAACCCTTCAGTGGTTGTTTCAGCTGATTTCATGCCCCCTCTGGTCGCTCCCTGCAGCCTCTTATGGAGCTGGCTGAAAGGCTATATAATCCAAAAGGAGAATCTGTGAGTCTCTTTGCCAAGATGTATCTGCAGTTTATGTGCAGACAAGTGCTATAGCAGGGGAACATTGTAATAAAAAACATTTGTGATCACCACTTCCCAGAAGTCTGTACTACACACACAGCCTTAGAGAAAAGAAGGGCTTGCAGCTTGTTTTTCCTTCCTTTAATAGTGAATGATTCAGCTAGAATTGAACAGACACTTTGGCCTAATATCTTGATTCTCTTGTTTTCCTTCTTCATTAATGTTTAGCTACCTATTAAAAACAATCCCACAAAATAAGGGGAAACACGTTAATAGCAACCCTATTGCTGTGCTAAATCTTTAATAGTACCAAATCTACCTAATAGCTACATACCTAATATTTCTTAGCAGATTTCTTTTTTTTATTGAAATTGGATCATTTTCAATCAAAAAGAAGACTTACACAGTAAGGTATTCCCTACTGTAACAACTAGGCAAAAATTGGAATGCACATGTTCAGCTTTTCTTCCAGCTGTATCTCCTGTTAATCCATAATCAGCACATGTGCTTGATGTTTTCTCTACTGCTATGAAATATTAGAGAATTTTCAGACAGGAAAATATTTCCTAGAACTAATCATGGGACTGTAAAAGCTGTTCACTCTTCACAGCCAGAAATTAAGCAAGGTTACAAGTCTGCTCATAATGCTAATGTGTCATATTTATGTCAAAGAAAATTCTGTAGTTCTGATAAAGTTTGCAATTTTCTGATTAAACATGTATTTTTACCCAATCAGAATTTGAGACCCTAAATTAGACCACAAAGGGCTGTAGTGAAGATGTATACTGAGGTATGTGTTCTGAACGTTTTTTTGGAGAGTAAAACTTGGTTATATTTTTACAGAAAAGGGCAAATCACAAATTCTGTTTTGCTCTTCATCTAGAGGTGTTACATGCACTAATCTGCAAAACAGTTTTGTCAGGACCTAGCTTACTAACCCAACTGTTTAATGACGAGACTGAGTTGGAAAGATGAAATTCCTTGTCCAAATTCACACAAGCTTTTGTCAAAGCCAAGGTTAGACTTTATCTGTATGTCATTGCCAAGGCCAGCTGTTTAACTCTGGCAATTATTCTGATTATAAGCCACCCAAACGAAAGTAAGAATTAAGAACACCTTTAAAACTTCAGAGGACATGTCCTCGAACAGCTGTTGATGAAGAAATTGGAGAAGAGCTGTAGCTATAGGAGGTGTAACAGCTCAAGCTGGGGACTGACTGTGCTACACCTTCAGCACTGTAATACAAATGCAGGCTCTGCCTGTGTACGTGCACACACTGTTTGGGAAAAAATGACATATTCATTATTAAAATTACTTATGAACATGAAGTAATTTCATCGTCACACTGAGAAATAATTTGTAAGTATTGCCGGAAAAAGACTGCAAGGATCTCTCACAACGCATAAAAACTCGGGAAACATTGATTCTCTCTTTTAGGATAATGTTATAGGGCTCTTACATAAATTGATTTTTTTTCTTCTCCCCCAGAATAAAGTACTTGCAACCTATTGCCTATTCCCTTCCATTCCACTAAAATAATTGTTTTTTCAGGTTTCATAGATAACTTTGCCCTAATGTTTCAAATCTTATGATTTACCGTGTAATACATTGTCATTATCTCTGACAGCCCCATCTGTACATAGCTTACTACTTTTTATGGAGTAGGTATTAAACCCTGACAGTTCAAAGGAGTGTTTTTCATTTTCTCCATGCCCTGCTAGTTCACTCAGTATTTTTTTTTCCATATCGTGCTTTTTTGTTTGGTTTGGTGTTTTTTTTTCTGCTGTTTGCTATTTATTTTCCCACTTCAGTCAAATTCCCAAATAAGAAGTAAAAACCAGATATTAAGAAGGGATTCTTACCTGACATTTTCTCTTAATCTCCCTATAGTATGATAAATTGTTGGACACACTTATTTTGAGTAGTTTTGCATTTAGGTCACCAAAACATTAGAATTTTTAAGTTTTCTGTCTAAATCTCAAAACTTTTACCTAATTTTGATTTTCTTTCAAAGTGGGGTTTGAAACTACTCCTGTTTTGTGCTTCAGTATTTAAGATATTTGCTTGTTCCTTCCTTTTTTAAATCAAATTTCTTCCTAGTTCCTCTAACCCATTTAGCAGTGTTGGCAGTAAGGTTAATGCTGTGCTGAATGGACTGAAATCTCCCTTCACTGCACTGGCAATGAGCCAAGTCCTGTGGAAAAAGACAGCTTAATTTAAGCAATCTTATCACCATGGTAATAGCTCCTCTAAAGGGACAGTGAGGTACCAGACCATAACCCTGGGATTCAATTATCATTAATTTATATAAAACTTCGAAGGACTGGAATAATAAGAGAAGTATTTGGGGTTCAAGGCAGTTATGATTTTCAGTTTCTATTCAGCAATATTTCAGAGCTCTAAACTTTGATTATGCCTCTAAACACTTGAAAATTTGGAGAGTTTTGGAGTTCAAGAAGTATACTCAGATCATCACATAGATGGAGTCATTCCTTTCTCCATTATACAGTAATTTAAGGTGCATATTTATGACTACCTGTATTTTTTTTTCCTACAACTATCTTGATTATAATTCTCTTTACTTATGGGGGGGTCTTGACAACAAGCAAGAGATTTATTCTGTACTAAGGTTTTCCTTTTTCTTTTTAAATCAAGCATAGACTTATTTGTGCTCTTCAAAAAGTACATTGGTAGCCTTTCGAATCACAGACACCTGTACACAATCCCTTTCTGTGTAAGCTGGAGTGGTTCTAAAAGCAAAAATAATAAATTAAAATACATATATCAATCAATACACACTGGCACAGTTTGGTGTGAACTCTTGGAAGGTTTCTTCTTTCTGCTTGGTCTCTGCATTTGAGCATCTTGTGGATCTTGTGAGTCGTTCCTCCAGTGCAGAGACACAGAAAGCACTTTTGTGCCTACATTTTTTTTCCCAGTTCAATGTTTCCATAGCAAACAGAATGGCTTTAACAGCTCCCAGGGCACATAGGTGTTAATGATCA